TGACCCAAAGAGACAGGGATAGAGAAGAGTACATCCTGCTGATCTCAGGGACCCAGCAAAGTCTCTGATTGAACCAGGAGAAACTCTTTTTCCTGATGACAGAAACCCAGCCCCAAAGCTGCTGAAGTTGGGACAGTTCTGGAACAGAAAGAAAATGGAAGGGAATAGTGTGTCAGATTGGTGAGGAAATTTTATTATTAGAAAAGAGACTATCCAAAGAAAATTAAAACTAAATTAAAATTGAAGACAAAAGAAAACAAGTGGCAAAATTAAGCAACATTAAACTTAGTGTGTTATCCTTTTTTTAAAAAAATTCAGCAACGGGTTCTCTGCCCGGTTGCTGGGTGGATATGGCCATAGTGAGCATGGCCTAGTCGGTCTCCTGCACCACAGTGGGGGGGGGGGGACAGATGGGATGTTTTTGTCTTCCTCAGGCTCCAGAGGCTTTCCTCAAGCCTCTGGGAAGGCGAAAACTGTCTCCCCTGTGCCCAGAGGATGTTTCTGGCCTTCCAAAACTTTCAGGAGGCCTGTTTTTTCCCACTTCTTGAGCCTCTGTACTTACCCCACATCCAAAATGGGTTGTGTGGAGACTCCTGGGAGGAGTGGGAGGGGCGGGGGGGGGCAAGTCAGGGATGGGATTTGGTGGTTCTTCAAACCAGCCATAACGTTAGCTACGGGTTCTCCCAAACCCGGGTGAACCCATAGCAGCCCACCCCTGATTACATGTGACCTTATAACCTAAAGGCCAAAAAGCAATCCTTGTTGAGTTGTCCAAGTCTCTTTTTCTGTTAGAGAATAATGGCAGGTGTATGCCACATAACCTGGAGTGCCACTCTTGGGTATAGTGAAAGACAGCATTAGAAAAGTTAACCCATAATACCTGTGATTGTTTGCTACAACAGACAAGGTTGCACTTTTGCAAATTGTTAGAAAGTTTTAATGCCACTCGTCAAGAAAAACATTATATAATTTAAATTGCTATTTTTAAATTACTAAAATCTGTGTGTCCTGTTGGTTTTATACTCTCAATAGATATTAAAAAATGCTCTGACTTCCAACAGTACCCACTGTAGTTTCCAATCTCCTGTATTTAAAATGGCAATTTAAAACATTCAAATTTTAAATGTCAAATTCCTTCTGTAGAAGGAGAAAATTAAACCCAACAGAATTAAGATAATAGTGCTTTGATTATAGGCCAATGAAATGTAAAATGAGAATCACATTTCAGAATTTCTTTAGATTCAACCATAGGCTGATTCCTGAAACAAAACCTCCAGGATACATTTGTTTGAAACATACAATGGAATAACGTCAGTACAAATTGTATTCAAAAATATTATTATAATTAAAATATGTTGTAAAGGTGAAACTTTAAAATTCTTTATAATGGCATTCCGGTTCAGGCAAATAGGCAGGAAAAAAATGCTCTAAAAAGTGAAAAAAAGAGCTTCCGACGATCGAACAGATCAGCTGTGAGCTGCACGATCATCAGAAGGTCCCCCCCCACACACACTTTTAAAAGCATTTTTTTCACCCGAATTGGCAGGAAAAAAATGCTTTAAAAAGTGAAAAAAAGTTGGCCACACCCACCATCACATGAGATACACCCCGCCAAGCCACGCCCTCAGAACCAATGGGCAAAAAAAAAAAATTAGATTTCACCACTGGTGGTAGGTAGGAATGTAGTCTGACACATCTGGAGGTCTGAATGACCGAGAAAGTCCAATTTACAAAATTGCTCTAATCAGCACAAATAGTCTTAGATATATGCAGATGGATTAAGAAAGCATGGTCAGCATTCCAGCTTTATTCTGAAATTAACTTTTAGAGAACTAAAATCATAAAGGTTTTACCTCCCCATGAAGTTGTTCCACCAGTGGGGGCTGCTGAAGCTGCTTGTGCAGTGCCAGATGTGAAGTCTGGTTGAAGATCTAGAAGATCACTGGAGGGCTTGGAAGCACTGTTGAAAGAGAGAAATATCAAAAAGGATTTGAATAAATGTCACAAAACTAATTTTGAAATCCAATGAATTCATGTGCAAGAATTAAAACAAAAATAATGGCATATTCAAGAACATAATTAGAACTGTACAAATTGTTGTGATCTTATATCAACATTCCCCAACCAAGTGTTTTCCAGATAAGTTAGGCTTCAAAAGTCACAATTTCTAGATCGATAAAGCTCATTTACTCATTATTAATCCACATGCCACAAAATTTTCAGGCAAAAAGAATTTGTGGGACATTTTGTAGGAATAAGGTACTGTTGGGATCTTTTTTCCCCCCTCTGAAAAAGAAACCTTAAGTTTTGAGGATGATTATGATTTCTACATTGAAGTTGTACATACGTTTTGACTTTTGTCTGCAATGCATTTATAAGTATACGTATACTCTTTATTGTCATTGTACTTAAATACAATGAAATTGGTTTTAACCTCATTGGTGCAAAATTATAACAGAAACAAAAAAAGAAAGAAGAAGAAAAAAAACTAGCGTGTGCATGGAGTGATTGTGGTTGTATTTAAAAGTCTCACAGCCCAAGGATAGAAACTATCTTTAAACCTGTTTGTTCGGCTGGCTATACTTTGATGTCTTTATAAAAACTTTGTCTTCTATCATTGAAGAAATTTAACAGAAACACAAGAATAAACACACTTTAGAACATCTTGTAAGTAGTGACCACAATGGAGTCCAAAATTTCAGTTGTTAAGTGAGATATTTGTTGAGTTTTGTCCCATTTTATGACCTTTCTTGCCACAGTTGCTAAGTGAATCACTGCAGTTGTTAACATAGTAACACTTGTTATGTGAATCTGCTTTCCCCATTGACTTAGTTTGTCAGAAGGTCACAAGCGGTAACCACATGACCTCGGGACACTGCAATGGTCATAAATATGAGCCAGTTGCCAAGTGTCTGAATTTAGATTACATGATCAGGGGGATGATGTAAAAGGTCATCACTGTGAAAAATGGTTATAAGTCACATTTATCAATGCCGTTGTAATTTTGAATAGTCACTAAACTGTTTTAAATCAAGGAATATCTGTGTCTATTACTTTAAAAGTAAGTATTGCATTTGCAACCAAACTAACCTGATTGGAGCCGTCGTTGAAGATGTTGCAAAAAGATCAACTGGTGGAGATGTATCAATACTTTTTGCTGGGGTAGAATTGGGAGACGTAACCGTTGTGGCTGGAGAAGACTGGAAAAGAACAGCTGGTTAGGACATACCACATTTATTTTATTCATTTAATAAAATCTATATGGCCATCCACCCACTCTCAGTGACTCTGGGAAGTTTACAAAAAAATAAAAAAATAACATAAACTAGATCTATTTTATTTCCTGTTAAATGGAAAGCTAAAGATTAATCATGCAATCATCATAAAATAAGTCTTTCTAAAATAGTAACCATTTCTGTTAATTACTGGTATTTGGTACTCCCTACTCCCCTTTTCCAGGTTGATACCAGAAATACTGCATCTGTTTAGCCTTGTTTAACCAAAAAATATGCAATTTTATGTCACATTGTACTTTCATATCATTAAGCTGACTTAGTTACATCTGCCTTTTAAATTTATTTAAAGAATAAATGTGAATTGGGAGGGGGGAGAAGTTCACTAAATACTCCTTCTAATATTATATCTTTAGTAATTTCTTGTGAAGCAGGTTGAAAGCAGGATGAAGACCAGTAAAAGAGATGAGTTAAAAGTCTGTAGGATACAAGGAAGGTACAATCTTTAGATCCACTTCCCAGCAAGCTAATACTTAGCTTTCCTTCCTCAGATGGAAGGAAAGTCTGCATATATACGCAGATTTTAACAGTGAACAAAAAAGCTAATGTATCCCTATTTTTATAGGAAGGTTCCAAGCTTGCACAGGCTCTCTCAAAAATTCCAGTAATATCACAACATGAAGTTTGACTTAAATGAATACTATTTAATCAGTATATCTAAACTTCAAAACTTCATAAACTTCTAAACCTGAGGGTAGAACAAGAAGCAATGGGTGGAAACTAATCAAGGAGAGAAGCAACTTAGAACTGAGGAGAAATTTCCTGACAGTTAGAACAATTAATTAGTGGAACACCTTGCCTCCAGAAGTTGTGAATTCCCCAACACTGGAAGTCTTTAAGAAGATGTTGGATAGCCATTTGTCTGAAACGGTATAGGATTTCCTGTCTAAGCAGGGGATTGGACTAGAAGACCTACAAGGTCCCTTCCAACTCTGCTATTGTATTGTAAATTAGCTTTATAAAAACCCATCCCATTTTAAAATTATTTCATTATTTTGGATAGCCCTTAAGGAACAGAGGACATAGGATAATATTAAAGTATCAAGAGCCAAAACAGGAATTACAGCATGAAAAGCATTTCAAAAAGGCTGCTCTGAACACATCCTTGAATTTTTGCTCACAACTCAGCATTATCTGGGGAGCAATGATAAAGTAAGATCTCAAATTTACTGGCCAGCACAAAAATTGGCATCTTATCAAGATCCACGTAGGAAAAGATACTAGCAGTATATCTTTCTATCAAGAATGCTCCTTTGCTGTAAGAGTTCACATACATTTTACCCATTAAAAGAAAAACAGTACATTCCTGACGGAGGGTGAGTTTGCATAGAGTATAAATCTCTGCACAATAAATGCCTTATTTAAAGGCTTCAAAACTAAGTCCATTTTAAAAGTTGGCTTTATCATAGTATTATAAAATTCAAGTCCGGCTGAGATCTTTTCTGGGAAAAAATGTATTCAGTGTATACATTAAAAGTTGGATAATCCCATGGTGATATTAACATAAAATATTTTGGACAGAAATTTGCATGCAGTTAATTATGAAGGCCGTGACAACTCTGAAATGTAGACTGTTTACTATGACAGTTTGTCAGGCAACTGATGGGACAGCAATAGGACCTTTTATTCTGGAATGTTGAATAAAACATAGTAAGATATGGTAGTAACCTTCAACCATCATATCAGAGCTATGAAACACTAACTTTTGCTTTGCCTTTAGGAAAGAAATTAAAATACTTTCATTTAAACCTTTAAAATGCTGATTATTCTTGTTGAATTTTTTTTTATACTGGATTTCAACTCTTTAAAATTATTCAGCTTTTGTTTTGTCTGTTACTGAGACCACTCTAGGGATTTCAATACTAAATATACTTCTGCATCTATATTTGTCTGTTAGGAAAATTGCACAGTGTTGATAAAAGACAGCACAGGTTTTTTTATACAAAGACTCTGCTATGAAATCATCATAAAATCTATTAGTGGGAAGGCAGTCTTAGATTTAATCCTGAGAAGTATTTCCAACCTTATTTAAAAATTCTACTGCCAAAGCAGCCTCCGCCAGCAACCTCAAAGCTGTCAAATTCGAAATCTATAGTAACTAGGCAATGTCCAAGAAACCACTAGGTTTCACATTTTTGCTTCACAGCAGGAACATTTTCCATTCAATTATTTTCAAAGTTAAATCATGCATGAAACCTCATGTAGAATGAATTTTTAAAAACCCTTTAAAAATATAACCTTCAACGTGTCCAATAGGATGTCAGAAGAACTTATGAGCATGGAAGTTACTTAAAAAAGGGTACATTTGTAATGTGAAAAAACAAATCACGAGCGTTATTACAAAATAGCTGTCAGGAAGAACAATTACAAAAACCACAGACAAATATATCCATTGCTCAAAGTAGTAGTGTGCTGGCTCCTCATCCACCTATTCTAGCCCAGTGATTTTCTTTGGATTGGGTTCGAAATTGTCACGCATAAGGCAAAGAAAAGCTAATTTCCCGCCTTCACCTGACAAAGAAGCAACTCTGTTCTGTGCTGACTACAGAACACAACTCTATGACCACTGTAGTCCAAGTCCTGCTTCACACTAAACCAAATCCCAATATGGATTGGCATGTTGTGAGAACGTGTTCGCTACACAATATGTGCACATCCAAGGCAGATTTCTTAGCTGTATCATGTGCACTTCTGATGCAGTTAGTAATACTCATTTCACCAGCTACTTATTTTCAATTTCCTAAAACACAGCAGGCTAAATTCTTAGGTTATGCTGTTGAAAGACAAGACAGCATAGTGTGATTAAATCCATCATTATACATTTTCCCCTTTAAAACATGATTGCTGGTTGTAAATTCACTCGTCATGCAGTCCTTATAACTTACTTTTGAGAGTGTCGGAGAAGGTGTGCAAGGGTGCTGCATATGATCAGGAGGGTACATTGCTCTACACATGCCTAACACAGTGTGAATGCAGAGGGGATGTAGATGAAGCACTGGTGGAGTGAGATCTACAGATCTAAGAGCCGAGGTGGCGCAGTGGTTAAATGCAGCACTGCAGGCTACTTCAGCTGACTGCAGTTCTGCTGTTCAAATCTCACCGGCTCAGGGTTGACTCAGCCTTCCATCCTTCCGAGGTGGGTAAAATGAGGACCCGGGTTGTTGGGGGCAATATGCTGACTCTGTAAACCGCTTAGAGAGGGCTGAAATCCCTATGAAGCAGTATATAAGTCTAACTGCTATTGCTATACACCAGCAACTTGCAATCTTCCCAACTGGCTTCCCCACTGACTTTCTGGAGAAGCTGGCATGGAAAGTTGCATATGATGGTCCCATGATTTCAGGTGCTTAGCAATCTGATGTAAGTGCCATCTTGTAATTTCATGACTATGGGTAGGCCAAGATGCCCAGAACCTTGCCGACTAATTGTAATCACCATTCATGCAGTGCTGTTGTAACCTGGAACTCATGCTGACCAAAAGATCATGACTCAAAGACTACCTATATTACTTAACGTTTGGATTCAGGGAAGCTAGTCTCCCTTTGGTGCCACTGAAATCACATCTATATCACTGGGGCTAAAGGACAACTGATTTCCTATGGATACATGTTTGATTCTGTAGTGTAATCCTCTGGAAAGCAGTCACGGTGGAAAGAGGTCAACTTGCGTAATATTTTTCACATAGAAATGAAAAGTAATATAGGTGTGTAGGATGTAAAATAGAAGAGATCAAATATCAATTTTATACATTCTTATGAAACACAAGACATTTCCAGTTTACATACTTAATTGAAGATTCAACTACTAATATCAATTTTTAGATTACCTTGCCCAAGGGAGAACCAGCACCAGATCTAGAAGAATTAAATTAAGAAAATATGATTCAGGAATGGATTTTATTTGGTAGTTGTAAACTTACAGAAAAATCTGGCAGACTGCATAAATATGATTTTAAACAATTGTAATTGCCTGTGCAATTGCCTGAGTCCCCTTCGGGGGGAAAAGGGCAGCATATAAATATAATAAAATCAAAAATCAATCAAAATCAATTGTAAAACAAATGTTTCATTTTAAAAACAGATGTGAAAACATATTAACAATAGGGACAACTTGTTCCTTCCTAAACCTTTTTTCATTGCTCTTTTTTTTAAACGGAAGAAAATATTTAAAATGTTCTGTAATAATTTCACTTTAAATCAAATATAACATGGTTAAAATGTGAAATTAATTGATCTGTTTGGATACCATGGCAAATCACGATATAAGTTAAAGTGCCCATGAAAATGATAAAAAGATAAAAGGAACAGGACAAATAGAAATTGTTGATAATTATTGCACGTCAAATCAGAAAAAGGTGAGTTAAATATGTATTTTGAACCTTAATCTCATCCCTGCTCTTTTGTTAAAAAATATTGCCCTAACTGAAACAGTGAGGCAAGGTCATCACAACACTTTTAAGTTATTTTGTTTAACTGCAAATGGTGATGGTAAAATATACCGTATTCTCAGAATTTATTAGCGAGGTTTTCATTTTTAGTTATACGCTTTGTTACAAGTAGAGCTACGGTTTTGTTTTTTTAAAAAGTCCCTTACATGTACAGATTCATTCCTAGTAACTTCATCAACAAGAAGCATTTTTGGCAACAGTACAGAATGAGTTTGCTGCTGCTGTTTTCCCCCCCAGTTTTTTTAGTTCTTACTCTTACCTTCCTGTTGCTTTAATCCAGTGGTAGTCAACATGGTCCCTACCGCCCACTTGTGGGCGTTCCAGCTTTCATGGTGGGCGGTAGGGGTTTTGTC